TCGGTGCCTGCCGGTGAGCGTGGTAGCGTGGTCTGCGAGCAGCAGGAGCGGGGCTGTCAGCATCAGCTTGTAGATGGTATTTTAAACTCGATGCGCTCTGAAACTACGGGCGGCCGAGGACAAAAAATATATATTCGTTAATCGCGTTATTTTTTTTTGCGTTAACGCGTTATTTTTTAAGCTTCCTATGTCCAGTATTCATAATTCAAAACATTTAATCACAAATATCTTCTATTTTCGCAGGCAAAAGCATTTCCTCGCACAGAAACCAAAACAGACGGCTCTTTAACGGTCGCGTATTCGTTCATTCATATGAACGTCAGGATATAGAATTATTTGACGGCACCCCTGAAGACGCCAGACGGCGCCCCGGTTGAGAAACGCTGCTATAGACTACTTATTGTCTTGGCTTGCATCCATGAAATATTGTATAGGCCTACTGCATATTGAGAAATCCATCTTCGACCGGTATATTGCGCAATAAACGGGAGATAGGGACCCCCCCGATTATTGACGTATATATTTGGCACACTGCTTTCACCCCAATCTAAACATGCTTAGCTGACAGTGTGATCATTTGATAACATCACATAGTCTTAAACCCTTTGCAGTACGTTGGCTATTCAACAAAAATCTGCCTGAGAAGCCAGTGATGAATTTAATGCTTTCATCTCAACATCGAACATTTCTCAGCTACTATCATTAGCGAGATATTTTTCTTCAACGCAATCGAAAATCTGTCTCCAGATGTGTCTGTACTCACGTTAAGCTGTTCTGTTGGGAAGGCACCGACGCCCACCCGGGTGGTGTAGGCTTTGACCACACCGTACACCCGGCCCACGTAAGATGGAGGCACGCCGAGGCCGGTGCACACCCCCCCCACGGTGCAGTTGGAAGAGGTCACGAAAGGATACGTCCCTGAACAGAGAAACATCGGTTAACCTCAGGAAGAAAAAAAACATCTATATTATTAATTCCACAAATCCTGTGTTGCTTACCAAAGTCGATATCCAGCAGAGCGGCGTTGGCTCCCTCCACCAGGATTTTCTTACTGGGACCATTAAGAGCTTTGTGCATGAAGTACACGCCATCGGTCACCATAGGGCGCAGCTGCTCTGCATATTCCTGAAAAACAGACACCATCAAATGCTTAGACAACATTTGTTTTCATAGATATAGCAGCTTTAGTTAGCTCCTGTATCCTAATGAGAACTCGATTCAAAAATGCATAAATTGCATGAAATCAAAATACGGCAGATTTAGCCATGCAAAGTAATCTGTATCTACACAAATGATCCGGCAGCTATCATATTTTTTATATATATCTCATTTAATAGTTTATTTGACAGGGACAATGCACAGTAATGAACACTTAAAACATTAAAATGTATCAAGCGTAACAGTGCCAGATTTAGCTTTGAGCTAATTTCCATCCGCAGTCCCTCACATAAAACATTTAAGAAGATTACATTTTACAAACATAGCAAAAACAAAATACATGATATGCAAAAAGTGCAAGAGCAGCATACACAAGTATTTATGACATGGTAATACAATATAGCAGCAACGACATCAGTGTTTCCCCTAGGTTTACTGCTTTGCGGGGGGTGCTGCCTGAGCGGGGGTTGGGTTGGCATTGGGATAGATCTTTTTTAAATCCTCTGGAGCAGAGAGGAGCTGTGGATTATTGTTATTGATTAATGCATCAGTGTTTCTTAGGGTCAAAAACACTAAACTCACAACTTCAAATGAAAGCGTTTAGTATATTTAATAAAAGAGCGCATGTTCAATGTGAAAAGTGACAGTAGATATAGATTGGTTGCAATTTGGTGCAATATATATATAAAAAAAAAAAGTGTAATTTTTATTTATTTATGAAACACCTTGAATTTTAGGCGGGGCGCAGCGCCCCTCCAATACAATGGTAGGGGAAACACTGGACATATAAGTGCAAGAGAGGATACAAGAGCTGCATAAAGTGCAAGAGGACATACCCCTGTATTAAAGTGCATTTAGCGGTGATTGCACGTCTGTTTGTTTCTCAACCATTCTTGGACGTGACCTTTGAAGCTATTGAGAGTGGGACAATCCCGTATCTCAGTTGGGAGGCTATTCCACAATGAGCTGCCTTTAATGGAGAGGACATTTTGCCCAAAAGTGGTCCGTCTGCGGTGGGCCTGACAGTCTCCTCTGGTTTCTGACCTAGTGCAGCGTCCAGTGTGTTTTTTGTGAATGAATTCCCCTAATAGAGGGGGGGCCAGTCCATCTAAACATTTATTAAAAAAAAAAAAAAAAACATACTTTTAAACAAACTCGCCTTAAAAAAGGGTCAAAACTCATGAAAAAAAAAAAAAAAAAAAAAAAAAAAAAAAAAAATTGTCTGATCTTATCAAGGATGGTACAGTGGATGGTATTGAAATTTTGGTTTTCGGTCAAACACCTTTGATAAGCTCCCCTTGTACAGCTGTTCTATGGGTTTCAAGGTTATGTGCACAAGCAAAACGACCAGTTTGGTCACCAGTAATTCAATGTTGGGATAG